TGCCATCATCTTCTGAGTGACAATGTTATCCAAAATGAAGGAAAAGGCCACTTGGTCATCATCATCCAGGAGGGGATTAATTGCTTTCTCTAAACGAGCCAGTTTATCTTCTTTCTGAAATGAAATTAAGGGATATCAATAACGGATCCCTCAACACCACCAAAATGAAGAGGTAGGTATCACCCGGCTAATTAGAGAGATGTACCCACAAAACTGTGCAACAGCCCACCCCAAAAGCTCATGTTAAGTAGGGGACAGGAAAAAAGCACCAAATCTTTGAGAAAGAACCCAAGGTAAAATTGTGAGAACTACTCCATGAGAAAAAACTTTATACAAGCAGCCAGAAAAGAAAGGGATTCCCACCCCATTCATTCTTCCCACTCCCCTCCTAAACTCTTACCTGCCTTCCCCACATCCCTTGCCCTCTACCCTTCCTTCTCACTGCTTTCCTCTGTTCCCACAGGAATAATGTAACAAGACTTGCCTCTCTCAGTTTTTCATCACAGAGGTCCAGCATGGATTGAGATATCTGGGTCAGTGAGTGCTTTGGTCCTGCAAATATATAAGTTCAGTGATGCAACCTGGTCTCTCTTCCAGTTTTGGGGGCTGAGGGGGAAATCACTGTCACAGCACTAGTGTAACCATTACCCACCTTGCATTGTCATCTTAAGATTTAAAAGCCAGTGCAGTCCAGAGCCAAGCTTGGGGAGACTTTCCCCAGCTCATTTCCCCCCGGGCAACTTCCCCTTAATGAGCAGCTGTGGGGGTAGTGGAGGGGATGTGGAAAAAAGATGGAGGTGGGAAAGTAGGCAGGAGACAGCATTGCTCCCTGCCACTTTGCTCTTAGTGTCTAGCCAAAGACATTGGTATAGCAAAGTCCCTGCCTGCTTCTCACACTGGAAACTCATGTAAGCAGCCAATGGGGAGTAGCTGGTGGTTGCTCCACCCCCTGCCCCCCCCCGCCTTCCTGACTTATGGAATGGGTAGGAGCAGCTGCTCCCTGGACCTTCTCTAGAACAGTGACCACTGTCTTTGGAAGGTATGGGAGCCTCTCCCCCTGGCTCCACACCTCAAGCTGAGGGAAAGCATGCAGACACATTCGGTCTCCTAAAAGAAAGTCTCCCAGGATTAACATTTATGCTCTGGGAGAAAAAGCTCAAGTGTCTTTACACTTGTGATTTTTACCAGGAGAACATTGATTCTCCTAGTAGGAGTTGAACATCTATACATAGCCATAGTGCATTTTATTTGCATCCACTTTCACCTGCAGCTGCACATTATGGTATAAAAGATAAAATTTTAAAGAAATACGTTTCTGGTCCTTCTGGCTGGGAGGGGAACATTAAAAAAAATTAACCAGATGCAACTCACTATTATGCCTAAAATCTGCAGTGGATGAAATAACAGCTCAGAGCGTGAACTGCCCCCATTCACTTCAAGGGATTCACCAACTCTGATGCACACTACTGTAAAGTGTGAGCACCAACACTATACCACTACCAGAAGTCTGAGTATGAAATAAGAGAGAAGGATGATAGTATAAATCATCATGAAACAATCTCACCTCATTTAGGCGTCACCAGTGCTTGGATTCTAAGCAAGCCGACATGGTGCCATCACCAAGTCACCTCACCCCAATCTGACCCCTAATGACAAGTGTTCATTATACCCTCACTAACCAAGGCATTCATCTTGGTGATCACAGCTAGATTTTAGTCAATTCTTCTCATCCACTCATATGCCAGCTCACATTTATTGAGCTCCCGATACATTTGAGGAAGAAAAAAAACCAACCCCTTATTTTCACCCTAGCCATTTCAACAGTTAGCCAGTTTACCTTTTCCCTGCAGAGTGCAAGGTAATTCCCTCCCATACACCACAGCACCAAAACAGCAAAAGAGAAGTTGTTTCAGGAAGCCTCCTACCATTGTACATGGCACTATTCTTCACAATCAGTTCCACGTGTTCTCGAAACTCTTCCCGGGATGGATACTGGCGCTTGCGGACATTCTCACGCAGGGTCTGTAGATCCATTGGCCGTGTGATGATCTTGTAGTAATCTTTGACAACTTTCGGGTTAACGGGTGTGTGAAAGGGGTACGTCTACAGATGCCAAAAAGAAAAAGTTCCTTCATTCACATGATGTTAACCTCATCATCCGAAATTTAATTTCTACAAGTAAGACAGGCAGCACTTCACAAGCGTTTGAGAGAGAAACCATGTTTTTGTCCCACCCAGCTACAAATGGAGATCATGTGACTCTGGCATTCTCTCTCTAAGGTATCTGTCACAGTTTAGTCAACTATTATCACAGGGGAAAAGCAGCTGGCAAAGCCTCTATGAATCTCAGCAACAGTTACCAGGCACTCAGCACTTTCAACACCAAAGTCAGTGTTATGAGATCATAATTAAAGATTTAGGAGATTAACTTTAAGCTCATATTTTCATAAATTTTGGCAAACAGCTTGAAATCCTTTCCAAATCAAAACCTTAAAATAGGAATAATGAAGCAATAGGTCTATCCAAGGCTCTACACACAATTATACAACTGCTGCACAGTTTTCCCTCATGGTTTTATTCTATAATTGTGCTCTTGATTCTAAAGTCTTGTTCACAGGGAAAGTTATCCCAGAATAGCTATTTACAGCTTCCAAGTTAGGTTAGTTTACTTCCAAAATACATTAAATAAATTCAAAATAAGGATTTATTATTCCAGAATAGGCTTTCCACACAGGGAGTCAATCAGGAATGGCTATTCTTCTATAAACTTATGCTCTGTCTGAACTGAAACTAACTTCCTCTATAGGTAAATCCTAAACGTTTATTTTAAAAGGAGTCGAGAATCCTCTGCTCCTTACCATTACAAAGATAAATCTTTCAGGGATACAACAAAAATAAACCAATGTACCATTGTTCAATTCTGGAAGCAGCTTAGAGGAGAGAACCAAAGTGCAATGGGATGCTATTTCTGAAGTTTAATGAGAACACTTAGGATTCACATTAGGAATTATTCCTCTGCTCATTACTTTGCTAGAGACAAAGGCAAATGGTTTGTACATTTAGTGATAGATGGCAGACAGAGTAACAAGAACATAAACTCCCTCCTCAAAACTTACTCTCCCTTTTCTCCCCACCCCCAACACATATGCACTTCTGTCCAAATGACAGTAAGGGAAAGTCAAGAAGAGATGCATGCATACCCTTTCAACGCCAAAAAGCCTTAACTGCTTTCCCTGATCCCAAAAGACCACGCTATCACACTACCTACACCACCTGCAATATACAGTTCTTCTTACTAAAGACCATATGCAGCACAACAATCTGGAAACTTGAGGGAAATGTAAAACAGCACAGGATGCTTGCCTGACTAGACCTGGAAGTGGGAGTAAAGAGAGAGCTAGAGAAAAAGATGTTGCATAAGCCTCAAGTCTCTGCTAGACAACTCAGTCCCTATCACGCTACCCAGAGCATAGACCTTAGTTCGCAAGGCCTAAACTTACATTGGGAAGATCCCTCATGTCATTGATGATGCCTTCCAGGATAGACGACAGAGTTACCATGGGGTCTGTTCGTCGCCGATGGATAGACTTGTGAGGCCGCTGAGAAAAATCAGATAAAACCAGTAAGCTAAGGTATTTTCAAGACACAAAATACAAATCTAAACAAGTTCTCTACAAGTTTAGTTTACTGATAAACTAAAGGATAGATACCCACCTCACATGCTGTTCTATGGATGCACTGGACAATGCAGCAATATGCCATTATGGACAACAAAAGATAAAGAGGCTACACTCATTTCAATGACACCTGGACTCACATTCAAGTAATCACAGTGAACAGTGGTTCCTACTCGCCGCTTCTTCTTTGGAGGAAGCTGCTGTTTAGGGAACTTCAAGACCAAAGATTTTCTGCGAACCTCATCTGCACTAGAAAAAAAGTAAACAAGAGTACTTCTATTTTCCTTCCCCTCTTTCACCATCAAGACTGCTTGCCCCTTAAGATGCCTCTGACCCTGTCCGCTGTGAAGCCATAGTCAGAAGTGAATTACTGCATCGTTAACAATGCCACAGCCACACTATTCCTGCGACTACAGCCCCTGCAGGCCATGACCCTTCTCAGCACCCAACCTGGCCTCCACTCCCACCCTACCTCTCAATCAGTTGCTTTCCCAGGACAATTTTGGTCCCCTCCACTTTAATGAGCTCTTCATTGTCATTGTGGATGACTGTCTTTTCCAGCTCCTCTTCCTGCTCCTCTGTCATGGCAACCGGGTTGGAGGGTGGAGCATTTGTTTGGTAGTAGAGTGGACAGAATTTATTAGTCCTCATGTGCCCAATCGCACCACAAGCTCCACATTTCAACTACAAAGACAAACACAATGAAAAACGTTGTCACCCCAGAGCTTAAAACTAGAAGAAACCAATAAAAATATTTAGTCTGATCTCTGATACATCACAAACCATTGCCTTTCATCTAGATACCCCAGTACTGAGCCAAATAAACTTATAGCAAATCATTACAAGCAAAAGCATCCAGAAAAAAAGAGGTAAGGCTCCAACTTCTCATGGGCCTGACACTAGCTCCAGACGACAAATGTGAAAAGGACCAGTACATATCAGAGCAGAACAGAAGGGTTATTGCACACACCATGCCAACTGCCTTTAGCAATAATGTGGAAGCACTGGCAACAGTACCAATGCACAAGGAGTATTCTGAACTATTTTACAGAACAGTTAGGCATGGTGCCAGCTGAAGTGCACTTCCCCGCCTGTGCTGTCAGAACGTACCCACAGGCCTTCTCCCCTGTTCTCTACAGAGATGGTTTGTCAGAATGTTTCCAGTTGGTTTTGCTTCCTCAGGAAAGATTTTTCCTTTCATCTGATGTTTCTCATTACCTTCAGGTCTGGCCGCTCCTTCATCTTCTTGGGCTTCTTCTCTGGGGGACCTTTGAGTTTTTCCTTTTCCTGATTTCGTTTGAGCCGGCGCAGCTGCTCTTGGATCCTGCGTCGCTCCTTCCGCATTTCCTCCCGGTGCTGCTCATCAAAGAGGGCAAATTTCCGTCTACAACACAAAGTTTTCCATCTGGGTCCGCACTTGGCCAAGCACCATTCTAGCAACCCGCTGTTTCTGGACTCGAGTCCTAACAACAGGATCCCCCTGGAGGAGTCAATGCAGCCAACTAACAGAGCCTTAGAGCAATAACAGTCCATCCTGACTAGGTCAAAGTTAATGCAAAAGCCCCAACATGTAAACCTCAGAGGGATTTGTGGCAAACGCTCCAGTTCAAATGGAAAGAGCTACAATACACTAGTTAACATTACACACAAGCGACAGAGGTAGAGAGCACACGGTGCTGTATTACTATAGCAGAAGGGACACATCCAGTGCACACAGTTAAACGCAACAAGCTTTGACAACTTTTCCTGTGAAAAGACAAAGGTGAATCAAAGAGCCACTTATGACTTGAGAGGCATAGTCTGAGCATCACTATCTAGTGCTTTTCATGATGGCTTGGGATTTAATATATCCCATTCCATTGGTAAGAGCAGAGATCACTTCAGACCTCAGGCTCCTGAGGTCCAGGGTCAATGGAACAAGATCCACCTCCCAGCCCAGGAACCACAAACAATCCCAACAACATTCTTAGGTAAATAAAGTAACGATGTCCTAGGACCTTACATGAACTCTTCATCTTTGGTAGTCCGTATCCGGCAGTAGGCATCAATGACAGAGGGCTTCCGAACTGTCTCACACCGCACGTATTCTTTCCCATCTTCATCTCGGAACGTGCGATAGATTTTGAGCCGACGGCCAGTGGCAGAGGAGTTGAGACTGGTTACTGAAGCGGTATCATCATCTTTGTGAGAGCCTGCTGAAGCGCCTGAAGCCGATGCTGCAAGACAGGTTATTTCAACATCTTGCAACAGCAAGGAAGTTTGGTAAGAAGAGCTCAAGAGACAACACCAGCCCATCATTGACAAAAGTAAGGGCAGATGAGCAGAACTGTGTTCCTGCTTAAAGATGTAGTATTAATGTGAAATCATCATTGCTCACCCCCCACCCCTGCCAAAAGGATGCCTATTGGCTCAGCAAGGCCCACAAGATTTCATACATAGAGGAAGCTCTGTCGGAAGATTCAGGGACAACTAAGTTATGGGGTCTGTAGCCACATCTGCAGAACATTGGTATAAGAACTGTATGGTGGGTAAAGAACTGGCTCAAGGGGAGATGACAGAATACCCTTCAACGTAACACAACCATCAGGCGTGCTGGGGGGGGGGGGCAGTTACTATTCAAGTTCCTCAATAAGCTGATCTTATTTAATATTTCTGTTAATGGCCTTGGCACAAGAAGCAAACATATGCTAAGGAAACTTACTGGTGACAAAACAAGGAGTCATGGTCAATGCAGAAGAGGAAGAGGACAAGGGAACCAGGCAGGAAGAATTAAGGGAACTCAAGGACTGGAATAAAAGAAATGGGCTGCTGTGGGACAGTGCAAAGTGCAAGTTCGCATTCTTAGGGGTTAATGACAGGAATCAAGGCTATAAGCTGGGAACTCATCCGTTGGAAACAACAGAGGAGGAGACTGACACACACTTAGGATGATTATGAACCACCAATGTGGTGAGGCCCTAGAAGGGCAACTGTAATGCTTGGAATGATTAAGCAAGATATTTCCAGAAGAGATAAGTAAAAATTAATGCCACTGTATGACAAGGTTATTTGGGTGAATATGATATCTTTTATTAGACCAACTTAAATAGTTGGAAAAAATTATTTTAGCAAGCTTTCAGGTTTAAAAACCCTTTGTCAGGCTGAGGAAGTCTCTGCAGTTGGCGTGTGCTCTTCCTGGATGGAATGAATCCAGAAAGAGCACATGCCAACTGCAGAGACTTCCTCAGCCTGACGAAGGGTTTTTAAAACCAAAAGCTTGCTAATTTTTTTTTCCCCAACTAGTTAATTTGGCCTAATAAAAGATATCGTATTCACCGAAAGCACCTTATCTGCCTATGTCCCGAGACCAACACAGCTACAACCTATATCCCTGCCACTGTATGAGGCATTGGCAAGATTTAATTTGGAATACTGGGTGCCACCCACATTAATAATAAAAAAAAAAAGAGACTATTAGGGGTGAGGATAGAGGTGAAGATGGAGAGCCTAAATTACAAGAGACTAGAAGCTGACTTGTTGGTCTGGCAAAACTCTGACCGAGGGTGGAACACTACTGCTGTCTATAAATATATCAGGAGCAAAAACCAGACAAAAATAAAACCACTTAGAGCCAGGGATGCCCACAGGCCAAATACTGCCCACAGCGCTGCTCCACCTAGCCTGCTAGGCTAGTGGCAGGATTTACTCAAGGGATGGGGGGGGGGGGGGGG